CCATATTCTTTAAATAGTGTTTTCCGCAAAGACAAATAATTTCACACATTTAATAACTGAATAATCTAAAGCTTATCAAATAATAGGAATGTTATGTCATGCCACCTGAGTATTTTCAAAGACGCCGCAGTAAAACGAATAAACAGGTGCAAAAAACGATCAAACCATCAAGGTTTTAGGTACTGAAATCTACGAAAATACTAACTTTTTTAGACATAACTCCACATGTAAATATTCTTATAACATTTACTTGCTTAGTTCTACATATAAAATTGTTTACTTTTATTTATAAGTACGTGAAAATAATTTTTAAAATGTGGGGTTAGGATAACAGAAAACGCATGTTTTACAAACGCTTTTTTTTAGTTATTATTTTATTTGAGTAAATTGAAATAGTAACAATGAATGAACAGAACATCAAGGATTTCATTTTTGTGCCTACTTTTGTTCTACACGTTTTACTTTTCAAGATTTTAGTACCTAAAAATGCCAGAAATTTCACCATTTCTCGGCCAGGGATATGGCCACCTTAAGCCAATTCTTACGATTTATAATCGTATTATTATGATTTCAGAATAGGAATTATACAATTTTAATAAAAAATGTACACGATCTTTGTATAGGTATAATAACAATAAGTAGGTAGGTACAGGGCGATTCACTATATTTTGACTCACCCTTTAACGTTTTTGTTTTAAGAGTGATAAAAAAATATGAAATACAAAAGTTGCATGATTTTCTATGAAGTTTTCGAAAATTATAGTAGAAAAACAAATGAAGTCCAAAGAAAATGGCCGCGGATGCTAAATTTGTTAATTTAAACTAGACTTACAATTAGATTTAGTTGCAATAAATTTTGACATATCGGATATTGATGTAATCCAAAATGCGTATAGGTATTTTTGCTAAATCTCACTGATTAGACCCTGTGAGGCCAATTATTCATGGACAATGTTATATGGTAGGCCGTGAAGTGACAGGTAGTAATGTCATGATAATATTGTTATTGTTTGACAGTTTGTCTTACTTTTGAATCCAAATAGGTTACACAGAGGTAGAAAATTTAAATTGAAAGTTATTCTCTATACTCTACAACGGAAAAAGAGCAAAAGATGTGCTTAAGAGCATCCTTTTTTTTTGTTTCTCGCCAGACTTGCAGTTCAATATTTACGTCATCGCCGATCTTATTTATTTGTATCTAGACATCGGAGGAAAATAATATTTATATCAACAAGTAGTTGGGATGGTTATTTTTGTTTATTGCCACCTCATATCAAACGACGAATCTTTCTCTTATAAGAACTTTGTTGACAGTATACGTTCATAACAGGTTTATTTTTCAGATTAAATATTATGCAAAAGAAAGGATAAGATAAAGATAAAGAAAACATTTCTCGCGAAACCTTTGTACAGTGTTTTGCGATTTAAAAACACTAGTATTTGAGTCATTTTAGATTAAAGAGCCTGAAGAAGTTAGTTTTCGAACAAACAACTTTATAAGTACTTTGTTGACAATATACGTTCATAACAGGTTTATTTTCCAGATAAATATAATGCAAAAGATCAGATAAGATAAGGATAAAGAAAACATTCGTCGCGAAACCTTTAGTGTTTTGCGATTTAAAAAAAAACTCGTATTTACGTAATTCTAGATTAAAGACCTGATGAAGTTGATTTTTTGGATGCATGATGCAAAAATTAAAAAATACCATGTATTATTCAGACTTCAAAAAGATGTTTGACATAAATTGATGAAATTTGGACAAGTATTTAAAAAACTAAAGAGAAAAATCACTGAATACAATACAAACAAATCCATCTTTAGAAATATGTATTTTATTCTATATTATTTTTAATTTATTTTAAATGTATTAAGCTAATTCGATTAACTAAAAAAAGTCTATGTCTGAGATGAAATAACTTGTGCATAAATAGCTATTTAGTATCAAAGAACATTGAATCTATATGACGGGACATTTTAGGGAAAATTTTTTAAATTTATTTGAATTAAATAAACGGTATAGGATGCTTTTGCCCGAAAGTTGTTTTTATGTACAACGTAGTCAATCGAAATTAAAGAAAAATCATTGACGTAGAAATATTTAATTTTTTTAGGGAATAACCAAGAGCTCCTAAAAATTATAAAATGTCTACGCCAATGATTTTCTTGGACTACTTCACACGATATTTAAAATTTAATTTCTTACAAAAAATCCATATAATTATAATGAGCTTATTATTAATTAAAAACGAAAACAATTAAGAAACATTTAAGCTTTCGCAATTTTTTACTCTATTTGAGGGTACTATTAAGCTAATTCAAAATTCAGTACTAGTTGGATAATGTAGTTGTTTCCCGCAATATCAGCAGTATTGTGATAGATATTTTTTGAATAACTGGTTTCCGGTATTGAAAAGCATGGTTCGATTTTATTTGAAAAAAAAACAATTACTCAAAAATGTATCTTTTTCTGGAAACAAAAACAGGAATTGAATGTTTTCATCCAGTTTTCAGAAAAACTGGACAAATTCGAAAACTTAGAAGAACTTATATTAAAAACAGACTTGAAAAAATATTTCTTAATGTATATTTTTCCAGATATTTTTTGCCTAAATGAGTATGAAAGTGATATTTAACGAAATTTATATATTGAGGATCGGCATCCCAAATTAGTCGAGTACGAATTAACAAAAGGTAAATATGTATTATTTAAAACAAAAATGAACTATACAGGCTGTTACAAAGTCGCTTCCCACTACAGGGATCTCGGAAACGTTAAAAGATGCGAAGTAGTTCAAATGGAGGAAAAAAAAACACGAAATTTTGGAAATCCGTTTTTATTTAATTTCAGCCTTGTTTGAGATTATATTGAAAAAAGAAGAACACTTTCTCATGGCAACTTTTTGCCCTCTATCGAATGGCATAATCAATTTTTATATGTAACGTTTCGTCTCTCCAGGACCCTCATCAACTTAATTTTTTTTAAATACGACCCTGGAAATTTTAGTACATTTTTTGCAAGCCTTCATGACCCTCAATACTGTAATGCCTCAGCTTGAACCAAATTCAGACGTTTTGTCTTTAAAAATTCGTCTTCAATGTATTCGTTCCAAATTTATCTAATTTTTTTAAGATTTCTATGTTTCTTGAATTATCGTACACTTTTAGTGTCGTCAGACCCTGTGAAATCCACATATTTAAACTATTACTATTACACGTTACAATAAAACATTATTAGAGTTTTAATCCCGTGCTCATAGTTATTTCTAGGTTTCTTAAGTGCTCAAAATTTAAACAAATTTCTATTTAAATTTTTTCAGGATATTCATACAAATACATCTGACATGCTATGCTCTTTCACAGTTGCGGTTACAGGTAGAATAAATTTCGATCATATGTGTATGATATATATTTCAATCTCAACATTTGCCAAAACGGAAACATTTTTGAATATTTACCGTAATTTTTTAAAGTATAATATTTATTTGGATCTAGGTCAAAACCAAGGTCATCAGCATATTTTTTTCTTGATTCTACAACTTTTATATGAAACTTTTTAATTAGGTTCAATCCTAAAGTTATCGAGGAGGTTCAAGTCTTTTTGGAACAACCTGCGTATACGTGTGTATTGATTTTTTTATATACAATACCTACTAAAATTTCAGCAGATTAATATTTTTTTTAAGAAACGCAATGAAATTTCTCTAGTCTCAATTTGTACTTTACAAAGCAAAAAGTAATACGTTTGGTTTATTTCATAATTTAAAAAATAATTTTGCAATTGAGGAGTGTTTGAATACATATTATTACTTAATGTAATATCATGTTCAGTTCATATAAGCCATGATCTAGAGATTGTTGCATTTTTTGGCATTATTATTATGGTACATCGTACGTACATAAGCTAATTTTATCACATAAAAACGATAATTATCTGGCAATATTGATGTCAATACTCATGAAACACAAAACAATGTCTTGCATGACATAAATACTTAAAAGAATGTAAACAAAATTGGAACATGGAGCTTCAGTTAATGACTGTCTACACTCTACACCGCTAGATGTCGGTAGCGAGAGAGAACTGACCAAAGACAACAAAGAATGTTGTCTCTGGAACTGACCGTCTCCAAACCTACCAAATAACAAAACTAAAAACAGTTAACTACCAAGAAACGGTGGGGAGTATTAGGTTAAATTATATCTTATCTATGATTAGTACAGTAGATTGTGACTGTTGATTTTACTTCTGTTCAGCTGAATTTTTTTTTGCATTATGATTCCGTTCGTACAATCGACAATGACGAAATTAATGATTTATGTTTATCTAGTGATATTATCAGTGCCCAGTGTTATCAATGAGAATGAAATAGGTCAGTTTTGTAAATTTATCAATTTACATGCGCTTATTCTTAGGTACTTCTTAATATAGTTGGTTTGCCGATGTATAACTTAAAAGGGCTTATGTGTCGGCCCAAATGAAGTGTATGACTTACAGAGCTGGCAAAATACTTTCAAAATGTATTTAAAATACAAATTACAAAATACTAGTACGAAAGTATTTTACTTAAGAAGAAAATACTTCTTTGGCAAACTATTTTAAATATAAATTACTTAGTATTTAAAATAGTATTTGAAGTATGTTGAATATAAAATACAGACTGTTACAAATTCGCTTTTCACTAAGTGATCTCAGACGCGGTAAGAGATACGAATTAGCTTAAATGGGGACAAAGTTGAATAATCAGAGGACCAGCATTATGCCTCTAAAAAATTAAGCCTAACATGATTAGTTTTCGAAATATTTGAAAGAAACCGAAATTTTGGAAATCCGTTTTTATTTCATTTTAGCCTTGTTTTAGGTGATATTGAAAAAAGAAGAACACTTTCTCATGGCAACTTTTTACCTATTCTATCGAATGGCATAATCAATTTTTATATGTAACGTTTCGTCTCTCCAGGACCATCATCAACTTGACCTCCAATACTGTAACGTTTCAACTCGAACCAGATTCAGATGTTAAAAATTCTTCTTCAATGTATTCCTTCCAAATTTATCTAATTTTTTTAAAGATTTCTATATTTCTTGAATTATCGTACACTCTAAGTGTCGTCACTTCACTTCATTTTTTTAAATACGACCCTGGAAATTTTATTACATTTTTTGCAACCCTTCATGACCTCCAATACTGCACTGTCTCAGCTCGAACCAGATTCAGACGTTTTGTCTCTAAAACCTCATCTTCAATGTATTCGTTCCAAATTTATCTATTTTTTTTAGATTTCTGTTTCTTGAATTATCGTACGGTGTCGTTAGACCCTGTGAAATCCACCTAGTTATTTAAACTATTACCATTACACGTTACAATAAAACATTATTTAGAGTTTTAATCCCGTGCTCATAGTTATTTCTAGGTTTCTTAAGTGCGCAAAATTCAAACTTTCTATTTAATTTTTTTCAGGATATTCATACAAATACATTTGACATGCTCTTTCACAGTTGCGGTTACAGGTAGAATAAATTCCAATCATATGTTTATCTTCATTCTCAACATTTGCCAAAACGGAAACATTTTTGAACATTTACTGTAATTTTTTAAATTATAATATTTATTTGGAGTTAAGTTACTTATCGAATTATGTATGACTAGGTAACGGAGATTAGAAGATGGAATAGTTTAAATTACTAGGTAGATTTCACAGGGTCTAACGACACTGTACGATGATTCAAGAAACAGAAATCTAAAAAAAAATAGATAAATTTGGAACGAATACATTGAAGATGCGTTGAAGGTAATTTGTTTGGGAATGGGGTCAGTTTTTAAAGAAAACCAGTTTATTGGTTAGTCGACGTTTCGGCTATATTTAAGCCTTCTTCAGGACACTAAAATAATTACAATAAATAAACATACACATCATTATACATATTGACTATTAGGATTAAAACAGATTAAAATTCAATAATATTACAATGATGAAGGATCAAGAACCAATCACAAGGAAACGTTTACGAAAATATAATAATAAATTTATCGGGTACTTACATCCAAAAAAGGTTTTCCGTGTAACAAATAATGTAAATAATGGGGAGTAAAATAGGTAGTATGTTGCTGTATCAAAATAGTACATTACTCGATGTTGCTTAAAATATCTATGAATGAAACATATTAGAGGATTTAAGTGTGGAACAGAAAAAAGGGGGCCAATGCAAAAAACATTCAAAGAAATTGAAATGTGTATAAAACCAGAGCTATATTGTTGTTAAATGTCTCTAAAATTGAAGATGAGGTTTTAGAGACAAAACGTCTGAATCTGGTTCGGGCTGAGACAGTACAGTATTGGAGGTCATGAAGGGTTGCAAAAAATGTAATAAAATTTCCAGGGTCGTATTTAAAAAAATTAAGTTGATGATGGTCCTGGAGAGACGAAACGTTACATATAAAAATTGATTATGTCATTCGATAGAGGGCAAAAGTTGCCATGAGAAAGTGTTCTTTTTTTTCAATATCACTTAAAACAAGGCTGAAATTAAACAAAAACGGATTTCCAAAATTTCGGTTTTTTCAAATATTTCGAAAACTAATCATGTTAGCCTTGATTTTTTAGAGGCATTATGCTGGTTCCCTGATTACGCAACTTTGCCTCCATTTAAACTACTTCGTATCTCTTACCGTTTCCGAGATCCCTGTAGTGAGAAGTGAATTTGTAACAGCCTGCCAGCCAAAAATTAGCAGTAAAAAATAGATTCATCAGTTCGACGAAATTCGCTACAGCAAACTAAAAAAAAACTTAATTTAAACGAAGCTCAAAATTTCCTTGAATGTCTGCTGCATCCTAATCGTAAGTAAAAATGTCTTCTAACGTTTTCCAACATCTGAGGCGTGACCGACCTAACCGCAACCATTATTTTGTTTTAAGAAAATTAGCGATGCTATGAATGATTTCGAAAAGTTTTTATATTTTCTTCTTAGTTGAAAAAGTTGAAAAAGGACACTGAAATTGTTTTTGCTAGCCTGCAAAGAACAAAATGCAAATTTTACAAAAATTACATGTAAATCTATAAAATATTTTAAACTGCTGGTTTTTTCAGGAATTACATTTTTTCTTAAGCAAAATGGTGCAAGCTTCATCGTTCTCATAAAAATTATTTGAAAACTCATGTTGAAAAACCTGTTTCTTAATGACTGTCAATGTATTATCTAGTGGATGAATGGATGTTTAAACAAAATTCTGGAAAATTTTCAAAGATATACGTATTTTTTAACAAGGTAAACATGATAACGTTTAATTATAAACTATTATAAGCACTAATATTTTTATATTATCTGATTAGTGACCACTTGAATTTGATCTAGATCGATAAGTAAATGGAAAGTTTATTTTAGAACAGAAATAATAAACATAAACACCAACTCTTCCCAATACTAAATTGTAATGTAAGAAAAAAAATAGAAGACATAAATTCACTTCTGAAATTAAGAGGACGTTAAAATAAGAATGTGGTTAAAAAAATATAATTTCAAATACTTCAGTTCACAGTCAATTTTACAATTGAGATTAGTTCCATAGAGAAAAAAAATCGAAATTCAATCCTTGGTTAATAAACTTAACAATTTAACTTCAGCAAGTGCGGCGACAGCCAATGGGCTAGGGGGAGCAAGATAAGAGAGAGGATGGGAGAAATATAAATTATAGGTAGAAATAGGTACAGGGTGATTCACTATATTTTGACCCCCCCTCTAACTTTTTTGTTTTAAGAGTTATAAAAAAATGTGGAATATAAAAGTTGCACGAGTTTTTATGAATTTTTCGAAAATGATATTAGAAAAACAAATGAAGTCCAAACAAAATGGCCTCGGATGTTAACTTTGTTAAGTTAAATGGAACGCCCTGTATATTTTTACATATTTGGATAGAACGTTCTCTGTTGAGCATAGTCATGTAGGGTTTGTTGGGTCCATCTCTAGCAATAAGCGAGATACTATTAGAAAACGAAAATAACATACTAACTTTTTAACATAAAATTTTATATTTTTAAATTCTTCGGTCTACAAATATTTATACTACTTTATTACTAAATTGTTTTAAAAAAAAATAAATTAGTTTTAATTTTCAAAATTAAAGTTTAAGTAAATAAATTATTTTATTAAAATCTAATATTTTCTTAGCTTAAGAAAATGTTTGTATTTTTTCGAAGCACTGGAGTTTTTTTTTGCAGAAATGAAACGAGATTTAACCTTAAGATCATACCTTTTTAAACAGTGTTAATTTTAACTATGTTTACAAGTTATTTTCACACTACCTTGAGTGTTGAGTGTTATGCTCATTTTTATAAGAAAATTAATATACTTAAAAATAGCAATAAAAATAGTGCTTACTCGATGAGTCTTATCTGTTTGTCATAGATTGTAAACGTTGTTTACTGTTTTTCTTTTAATTCAGTTTAACAACACTTACCTAAGTATACATTATACATATTGTAAAAAGTATACAGAGTGTAAATGATAAGTTTAGCCAAACTTTAATGGCGTATTTTACCGATGAAAATAATCAAGTTTTGCCTTATAAAATTTTTGAAGACTTGATTTTTTTAAGAATATTTGAAATTTGTAAAAACTTTATCGGGACAACTTTTTGCGAAGAATTTCACTGTGGATTCAAATTCGCGGTTCCGAGTATTCATCATCATTTCCTTGTCAACTTTATTTTTTATTAATTACGGGTTATTGAATTAGTATTGCTGAACAAAATAAAGCATTTTTGAAGATTTTCCCCGATGTGTCAACTGTAAAAAAAAAATCTGTAAAAAAGTACATATATTTCTGTACGTCCTGAAAACATTGGAAGACAATTTACGACCACCACTATACAAACATCCTGTACAGGAATCCTGTACAAGGTTTTGTGTCATTATTTATGATACTTTAAATTAGCGACTAAAAATGTTTGGGGATTCTAAATATGACATCTTTTTTATTTTAGTCAGTGGCCAGTCAGTCAGTGGTCAGTGGTCAGTTTTATTTTAGTCATTTATTTCGAAATAGATTCTCTGTAATAACAATTGCACGTCACTAGATTTTTTAACTGAAACTGTACCTGATGATCCAGGATGTTATTCATCATGTAAAATTAGAAAACAATTGCTATATAGATTTTCGCTAAAACTAAGCTCAATTTTTTTAAATTCAATTCAAAAGTATTTTGAAAGTAAAGCTTCTGTTGACAGATTTATACTAAAACTACTGCCATTAATTTTCCTCATAGAATCTAATTGTGAAAGGTCCATGCTTCAGCAGACATCCTATATATGTATAATGTAGTTCTGTTAAAATATGTTTTCAAAATAAGGGTTACTAATGGTGTAGTTTTTCCTTTCTTATATTAGAAAAGTTACTTTTTTGATCATGTTATAACGATACAGTTATTTTAAAAGTGGTGGACTGTAAGAAACAAGCAAAAAAAGTTGATTGGAGATGGCTTACCACTGGTGCAGTTCACTATCTTCTTGAAGGGCCCTTTTAGTGTCTTGAATTTGAAGTCCAACAATAAAAGAATATGTAAAGTATTTGAATATTTGATTGAATTAAACCGAAACAACCATGTTGTGACAACAAAGGAAGAGACAAAAAAATAAAATTTATTTTATATTTTGAATGAATATAAATACATATAATAACAATTTTGCGGTGAAGCCGCAACAGGTCACTAGGAAACTTTTTTAGTATTTTGAGTTCAAACTCTGCTTCATCTACAGGAAAGTCCATGATGCACTGACAGATTTGCAATGCCTATTTTATTTGTGGCTAGATTTTGAATTTGTTTGAGGATTGCAATTAAGACGGCATAGAACTAACATTAATTTTCATTATTTGTCATTAACAGTTACATGGGTCAGTAGCGTGTATTTGTGATTCATATTTTTTGCGTGCAGATTCGGTTGTTGCAAGTTAACGTTTATTTCGTGTTTCGACAGTTTCATCGCGGATTTTTTTGTCGCATCAGTAAGCCTGATACCATGCTAAACCAGTATTGCGGGATTGTGGAAAAATAATCGAAATTGTTCATTATCAGCCGCATGCATCGGACATTCATAAAACATAAAAATTGGATCATATAATAAAAATACCCAGTAGATCTTCTATAAGAGTCGGTTTGTTTTATACATATGACTTTCGATGAGAACCCCAACCCAACAAAATCGTTTCACATCAAGTTATTTTAAATTTCTTTATGTTTAATACATTAGTGGGTGAGATGAACTGACGAACGAACGAAACCAGGAACTATTACATAAATCTTGATGCCCCTGCTACCTCAGCGTCTTATTTACTAACGGAAGTGTCAGTTATTATGATTGTTTTATTTATTTATTTATTTATTTGTGCATATAAAAACTAATAATGAATTATAGTTCTGTATTGTTACTGTCTCTCATCTGTTTATAACTCGTTAAATAGCCTAACTCTTCTAAATATGCAATATATTTTCCTACTTATGAAAACTTACTGTACACTAAATTAATCAATCTTTTTTTTTCTTGCAGGAATAGCACAGGCACAAGTAATCGACACAAATGGTGAGTAATTATTAAGTTTTAAACTTTAGTGTTGCTAGTGCTGCATAATTGATATAAATTATTGGAAAGGAACACAATAGTGTATTCCATCATTCTTTTATTTCATAAGAACTTACTAGGCTATTGATTATATCCAAAAAAAAAACAGGGTTAAAAGGAACTATGACGTTCAAGCAACTTTATAGCACGAATCGTTCAAAGGGTCATTTTAGATGAAAAACCATGAGTGCTATTAAATTAGTGGGTGGAAATTGGAGATAGGGGTGAAAATGCATCCCTTTCAGTTTTTTAATTGTAGCTCGAAAACGAAGCAAAATTTCGCTATAGTAAAATTTAAAAGGAAAATTTTATTAAAGAAATCGTTAATAAACAATTTGAAAAAAAGCAAAAAATTCGATTTTTTTATTTTTTTTTTACTTTTTTGCCTATATTTTTTTTAAAGTAGATAAAATTTCCTTAAAAAAATGAGGTTGTAAAGTATTTTTGGATGAAAATTGACTGATATATGGCCGCTCAAACTTAACCAATTTTTCGATTTTCCTCGCAGTTACCTTAGTTTTAAGTCTCATTTTTGCAAAAAAGGAAGGAAATAAGACGTTCAAGGATTTTCATAACATGACTTGTTCGAAGGGTAATTAAAAATGAGAAAACCGCAGGGTGCTATTAAATTAGAGGGTTGAAGTTGAGGATAGAGGTGAAAATGCACTTTTGCAGATTTTTAAAAATAGCACGAAAATGAAGGAAAATTTCGGTATAGTTCGTAGGAAAAATTTTGTAGAGAATTGAATTTTTCATCGAAATGGCTTATTTAAAAAATTTAAAAGAAAAATTTTATGGAAAAAATCGTTAATAAACAATTTAAAAAAAAGTAAAAAATAAGATTTTTTAGTTTTTTTTGCATTTTTGACTCTAATTTTATTTTAGTACAAGTAGGCAAAGAAATGTGTAAAAAACGCGTTTTTTTGCTATATTCGAGGTTATATGACATCGCAAATACATTTTTTTTTTCTAAAAATCAATTACACCACTGCAAAGTAGAATCTTTACCCTTCAAGACCCTTCTTTCGATTTGTCATCAAGGTATTTTAATGAACGAACGAAACAAACCACGAACTACGACGTAAATTCTGATGCCCCCGCTACCTCAGCGTTTTATTTACTCACTGAAGTATCAAATTATTATTNGGAAAGTTTCCGTCAAACTTTAATTACTTTAATAACTAACTCTTAGTAGTTATATCTCAAAATTAGTTTCTGATAACTTTTCAGGAACTCAATAAAACAATTAAATCTTCTAAATCTATAAATAAATCTTATCTTGAATAGATCTGGGACCCTAAAATGGGAGAGCGAGGAAAGAAAGAAAAAGTTTTCATTAGCACGTGGTTGTTCAATATTGACGGTTAAAATTACATAATTTAACTGATTAATAAAACTCAAATTGAAATTTACTAAACCGAATACAATTAACAAGATATTTAAAAGTACAATGATTTCGTGCAGGCTTTTATTAAATTCATCTAATAAAAAACTAAATCTTTTGGATTGGCTGTTCTAAACGAATTAAACATCAGACTGGTAGGTACATTGTTACTTCATCCACAGGCCAACAAGGAAAAAACCGCAGAAAGCAGACAATGCGTCTCCAAAGATTTTAGATGCGCTTAATCCGAATATGGTCTCTGAATTGACCCATCGCCCTAGCTTACCGAGATATTCTAAATGTGTAAAAAACACGTTTTTTGCTATATTCAAGGTTTTTTTCTAAAAATCAATTACACCACTGCAAAGTAGAATCTTTACGCTTCAAGACCCTTCTTTCGATTTGACATCAAGTTATTTTAAATTTATTTATGTATAATTATATTAATGAACGAACGAAACAAACCACGAACTACGACGTAAATTCTGATGCCCCCGCTACCTCAGCGTTTTATTTACTCACTGAAGTATCAAATTATTATTATGATTACGTTTTATTTATTTATTTTTTTTGTGTATATAAAAATCAATTCGTAATTACGCTTAATATGAATTATAGTTCAGTATTATTACCGAAATTCACTCCTCTGATTTAATCCGTTTAATAGCCTACCTCTTCTAAATATGCAATATTTTTGCTTTGTTATAAAAATCTACTGTCTACACTGAATTAATCAATCTTTCTTTTTTTTTTGCTTTCAGGACAAGCACTGACACAAACATTCAACACTAATGGTGAGTTTTTATTAAGTTTTAAACCTAGTACTGCAGGATTGACAGAAATTATTGGAAAGAAACACAGTAAAGCATTTCATCAATCATTTATTTCATAACACTTACCTGGGATTGAGTAAATCGTTTTCATAGAACATAATGTAATTTGTTGCGCTTTTCCGTTCAAATTGGAAAGCTTTTGAATACGTTGTTGGTGTTAACGATTACATACAACTACTTTTAGTCGGCGCTACAATTATTTTGTTGATTTCTATGGCTTGCGCGTATTCGTATTCGGAAATAATGCATTTGTATAAACAAAAATGGGACATTTTCATATTACTGTGTGGGGGACGAACACTTATATTTTTAAAATTGATTTGATGAAAATAATAGGGTGTCCTCGAGGATGTCCTACTTGCTCTAAATAGACTTACCAATCCTTTAAAATATCAGTCATTTATATTACCATTTCGTTTTACTATTTACGACCCATAAAATGTATAATTTCTCAGAAAAATAAAAAAGAAACCAGTAAGCAACAAGCATGTTTCAAATACTGTACAAAATAAAATAAGTACCTACAATAGGGAGGATGTTGGCCTAGATGAAAAATCAACTAAATGATGGATATGTCAAAACTTTTACTCGACTAGAGGCGTTTGGATGTTGGGATTGTGGTGAGAAGGGCCATAATAAAGCTAGGTGTCCCAAAGACAAACTGACAACCCCTATCCGACAAGGGTACAGGAAGATTGAGAAAACTAAAATAGATCAGTTTTAGGGGCAAAGACTGGCTATCAAGCCCCACCAACGAAAATTACAGTGTCCCGGTTGCATCATGAGAATACAAGCTTGGCAAAGTGATTGTCACATGGAATTGAATACTGGGTCGTATCACACAATTGTGAAGCCGAATATTCTCAGCCACTGCAAAATTGGAACAATTACAAAGAAGTTTGTACTGGAGACTACAGGAGGTGAAACCTTACCTGTGATTGGAGTATACGAAGCAGAGTTCCAGCTAGGAACGAAAATTTTTCGACATCAAGTTTTGTGGCCAATATTGTTGATGACGTATTAATGGGTTTAAGGTTCATGGAAGACCATGGTTTCCATCTAAATCTACAAGACCTAGTTATTGCTACTGGACAAGATGAATTAATAATATCAGTGTCATTATCTCATGATCAAGTACGAGGCGTAACGGTAAGTGAAGATGTTTTACTCCCAGCTTGATCCGAGTCAGTCATACTTGTGAATCTGGAGAATGTGGATTATGATGAAGTGAAGCTGATTGAACCGGATCTGGAACATCGAAATTTTATCCAAAAAGGACTATTGTTGGCACGAACCTTAACACAAAAAAGCGAAATTCGATTTATGTACGACTTGTAAATCACAAAACTGAAGGACGGAAACTGAGGTGATGTTATTGGGAAATGTCAGTTTATATCGTGTATAAGCATGTGTGAAGACACCCCGGCAAAATCCAACCGTGCCGCTGAAGGTGAAGTTCCTGCCAGCTTAAAGATTTTGGGAGAAAAAGCAAAACCATCCTTGAGCAATCTATAGCTAAGGTGTTTTAAGTATCTTTTATCGAAATACAAAGATGTATTTGTCCTATCAGAAGGCAACTTGGGAAGAACTAAGAAAGTTAATAATTCCACTGTCTAAACAAGAAGTGGAAAACCATCTAAAGAACATGGAACGTCAAGGTATAATTGAACTATCGAACAGTCCATGGAGTTCACCAGTAGTGTTAGTCACCAAGAAAAACCGTTTTACCGTATTTTTTGTTGACTGCAGAAGGGTAAATGACATAACAAAGAAAGACAGCTATCGTTTACCCAGAATCGATGACACTAAAGACACCCTGGCAAATGCAAAATTGTTGTCGACGCTGGACCTTAAAAGTGGTTATTGGCAGATAAAAGTTGATCCAAAGGACAAAGAAAATACGGCTTTCTCTACTGAAGCAGGTTTATGGCACTTTAATGTCATGCCGTTTGGCCTCTGCAATGCTCCGGCCACTTTCGAAAAACTCATGGAGATTGTATTACAAGGATTTATCTGGAATACCTGTCTTGTAGTCCTCGACGACGTCATTATCTTGGGCAAGACATTTGAAGAACATCGATGATGTTTTCGAGAATATTAAGGAGCTAATCTAAAATCCTTCAAAAACAAGTCGAATAACTGGGTCATGTTATATCACCAAATGGTGTTAAAACTGATCCGAGAAAAACTGAAACTGTACGAAGCGGGCCTGTTCCTAAGGACAAACATCATTTAAGAAGCTTCCTAGGTATGTGCTCCTATTAGAGAGATTTGTTCGAGGGTTTGCAGATCTTGCTTGTCCATTACACCTACTAACTGAAAATGATCAATTCTATGATTGGACTCCAAAATAACAGCAGGCATTTGAAAAACTTAAATACCGATATTAGTCTATCCACGACCTGGTGATGCAGATGCTAGCAACACTGGAATCGGAGGAGTCTTACCACAAATGCAGGATGAAGAGGAAAGAGTAATAGCTTACTTTAACAAGGCATTGTCAGAATCGGAGAAGAACTACTGTATGGCCAGGAAGGAGTTCTTAGCCATTGTGAAAACTGTAACGCACTCCCATAAGTATCTCTATGGACAATGGTTCAAACTGAGAACAGACCATGCCTCCTTGAAATGGTTATTTCAATTTAAGAACTCTGAAGGTCAGATAGCTCGTTGGTTATAAATTTTACAAGAATATGACTTCACTATTGAACATAGAAGAGGACGACTTCATGGGAACACAGATGCAGTATCCAGATGACCGTGTCCCGAAAGATGTGCACATTGCAACCGAGCTGAGACAAAAGAATTTGGGAAGAACAGCAATTGTAACGGAAACAACTTACTAAAGACCAACGGAATGATGACACTCTAAAATCGACTATTAGTTGTAAAGAACATGGATCAATCATCGACGTTAAAAGATTACTAGGCAATATGGGACTCCCTTATCTTAAAAAATGGGTTACTTAAGAGGGAGGTGGAAAGTCCAGACGGTAAAGAAGTATGCAAACAGGTCATTCTTCCAAGGAATTGAGTAAATGAAGTGCTGAGAGAAATCCATAGTGGAGTAGGTGGAGGGCAGTGTAGCGAAATTAAGCTTAGTTTGCTCCGCATATACGTTTGTTTACTTATTTGTTTCATGATATTTCTAGAATATGTTCTGTTTTTTCTATTATATTCTTAGAAGCTTAAATATTATTCTATACTGTTCTTAGAAACCCATGGAAAATTTGAAAAACAAGGAAAACTATATAAACGGACACGCTGACGCGCAGGGGTCTTTTTGAAGTGTTTGAGGTTAAATTACATATTATTTGTCATTGTGAATTGTCAAAGTTATAAGCTGTGTGTGTAAAGTTTGTAAAAATTTGTTTTAAATAAAGCAAATTCGGTACAATGTTAATGTGTGAGATGAACTCACAAACGAAACAAACGACAAACTACGACGTAAATTCTGATGCCCCCGCTGCCTCAGCGTCTTATTTACTCAGCGAAGTACCAAATTATTATGTTTCATTTATTTTTTTTGTGTATAAAAAACAAATTTATAATTACGCTTAACATGAAGTCTACCCAGAATCGATGACACACTGTAGACACCCTGGCAAATGCAAAATTGTTTTCTATGATAGACCTCAAAAATGGTTATTGGCAAGTAGAAGTTGATCCAAGGATAAAGAAAAGACGACCTTCTCTACTGAAACAGGTTTGTGGTACTTCAGTGTCATGCCGTTTGGCCTCTACAATGCTCCGACCACTTTCAAAAGACTCATGGAGACTGTATTACAAGGATTTACGACGTCTCGAAGAAAAGCAATTGTAACGGATGAACATTGGGAAACAAAACAACTTAGTGAAAATTGGTCAAACCTATGGGAAATTCGAAAAACAAACTAAACGAGGTATTGGATTCGAAGGTGTTATTTTTAATACGTAAGATTATTTGGACTTTGGACGACGTGAATCTTGGGATACTTTAATTACATATTTTTCAAATAGGTAATTTGATTAAAAGTTAAGTTCCTGTTTTAAGAGATTCATAATTACTAAAATTCGAGCACAACACTATTGTCGTACTACAAAATCGATACATTTTATTTTGTTAATTTAAAAACTGGAAATTTACTAAATATTTCACAATAATAGTTGTATATACATTTACATTTTATATATACATAGGTAAATTTTTTTCGTAGAACAGGTCTGCCGCGTGTACACGTGGTATGCATCAGCAGGTTAAGCGCTGTTGTCACATTGTGATGAAACTCCCCATATGTTAATACTCGCTGTATTTTGAAAACTCTTAATCTTACGCCCCTGTAATATATAACTTTTCTGTTCATTTATGATTACTCTATCGCATGCTGAATTAATGCAGTCAAACTTCTTACACCCTGTATAATGACCTGTTTACAGTCAACGAAATTGATACATTTTTTGGTCTTGAATTAATTTTGTGTAATACACAAAATTGTCAATTTATTGATAATAATAAATTCATGAAGAAATTATAAGATTAGGATCAGCTCCAATTTTTTAGTAAATTCTGGTTACATTTCGATTTAAAGATATAATGCCAACTGTGTTTATGATAAAAATCACTAGACATAATTTAAATTATTTTTAAACTCTTTTAACTCTCTTGAAATTATTGACCGAATTTACTGAGTAGTTAAAAAAATGGGACTTGGTAATACACAGTACATAACATAAAATAATTTTTAAACTAATTTTTTTATGCATTTACAAATTTAAATGCCTTTTTGTCGAAAACGGTTGGCTTTAGACATATTAGCAAGCATTAGCACCTTTTTTAAGAAGAAAAGTTGGTGGAAAAAAATTTAGCCCAAAGTGAAATACACGGTGGCACAAAAAAGTGTAAGCAGTTTAAATGCGCCCTAATGGTCGCTTGTGGCGCCCTCTAGAAGATACAACGAAATCGTCAATAAATTCGAATTCCCAAAAAAAACGGGATACGAAATTTCACGAAATTAGTTCGAAGTTACCGAAATCAACGTTGTATATGACTTTTCCCCATTGATTTTCGTCGTAGAATCTAGTGGTAAAGTTTGGTCTATTCTTTAACGAACACCCTGTATAGTGATATGTTTTTTGGATTTGTCTAGTTTTTTTCAGTACGATTTTTGGTTAGATAAAACTATAGTAAAGTAACCCTTGATTGTTTCTTTTGGTGTAAGGATTCATTTTATTAATTTTAAATTTTTTAATAAATACAGAAAAAAGTAAATTGGTAGGTATTGGTGGGGGCGGGGGAATTCGAGAAACAAAGAAAACTATGTGAAATTTTTAAGGTTAAGTTGTTACTTGTCATTGTGAATTGTCAGGGTTATAAGTTGTGTGTGTAGTGTAAAGTTTGTAAAAATTAGTTTTAAATAAAGCAAATTCGTTACAATATTAATGTGTGAGATGATGCCCCCGCTACCTCAGCGTCTTATTTACTCAACGAAGTGCCAAATTATTGTTGTGATTACGATTTATTTAATTTTTATTTGTGTATATAAAAACCAGTTTGTAATTATGCTTAGTATGAATTATTGTTCTGTATTGTTACCGAAATTCTTTGCTCTGATTATAATTCGTTAAAGAGCCCACCTCTTCTAATTATGCAATATTTTTGCTTGCTTTTAAAAATTTACTCTTTATATTGAATTAATCAATCTTTTTTTTGCTTTCAGGACAACCAGTGTCACAAACAATCACCACAAGAGGTGAGTTATTAATTTATAAACTATAATATTTCTAGTACCTACTTCATAATTGACAGAAATTATTGGAATGGAACACAATAACCCTTCTTGATTTCTTTTTATTAGGATACTTGAAGTTTATGTCCATGATTTACAAGATAATTTAAACCTTTTAAAGAAGAAAATATCAGAAGTAATAGGCGACATAAATGAGGATACAATTCACTTTACGTAATTTAGAAAAAATATTGAAAAATGTGTAACACTAGGAGGACAACACAGAATAGTTTTATCATTTTCTTCAATAAATTATGCGCTTTCGTTGAATTTATAAAATTATTTTAATCATAATTTTCGCAAAAATGTCAACTTTGAGATACGAAGAAAAAAGTTTATATAAACCTTTGTCCGGAAATGCTTCGTTTCTGAGATACATGGTGTTGAAATTAAAATTTTATTTTCAATTTTTTTAAATAACTTATGAACACTCAACTGATTTTCCATTTTGGGCTATGAACCTATCATTTCACGAAATCACACTCAACTGTTAATTACGTATTTTTTCCATGAGGGAGGGACTAATTCCACTGAACTTTGATGGAGGTAATATATACGACATTTCCCTGCTTAGCCGAGAGATCAAAAGAAGGATTTGACCTCTAGATGACCTGCAAATGACCTTCAGAGGTCGGTTCGACCAACAGGCCGAGGGGTAAAAAAAATTGTATCATTCAAATTAATATGTTTGACCTTCATTTGACCTTGATCTAGAGTGATGGGGTCATAGGGACACCAGGATCGTGATTAGCGACCCCAAAAGCATAAAAGTTACCTAGTCTGGGAAAAAGGACTTTTCGATTTCTGTTTGTGGGCCTGTTATCATTAACAGTTGCAGTTGCAATTATTGGTTAGGAGCGTGTAGTTGTGTTTCACATTATCTGCGGATAAATTTGGTCGTTGCAGGTTAACGTTTATTTCGTCGACAGTTTCATCGTGGATTTTTTGGTCGCAATGTTACCATCAGTAAGTCTGACACCATGCTAAAATAGTATTGCCAGATGGTGGAAAAATAATCAAAATTGTTCATTATCTGCCTCATGCATAGAAGTATTACACTCATTGAACCTAAAAATTAGATCATATAATAAAATAATAAAATAATAAAAATATCCAGTAAAGTTTCTGTAGAGTCGGTTTGTTTGATAAGAACTCCAACCCAAAAAAATCGCTTCACATCAAGTTATTTTAAATTTCTTTATGTTTAATACATTAATGTGTGAGATGAACTGACGAACGAACGAAACCAGGAACTATTACATAAATCTTGATGCCCCTGCTACCTAAGCGTCTTATTTACTAACCGAAGTGTCAAATTATTATGATTACGTTTTATTTATTTGTATTTCATTTGTATATATAAAAACAATTAGTAATTAGTATTCGCTTAATATGAATTATACTTCTATATCGTTACCGAAATTCTCTTCTCTGATTATAATCCGTTAAATAGCCTACCTCTTCTAAATATGCAATATATTTGTCTATTTATAAAAATTTACTGTCTATATTGAATTAATCAATCGTTGTTTTTTGTTTTCAGGAGGAGCATTGACACAAACGTTCGACACATATGGTGAGTTTTATTAATTTTTAATCTTTAGTATTCCTAGTACTGCATAATTGACATATAATATNTTATCATTTTCTTCAATAAATTATGCGCTTTCGTTGAATTTATAAAATTATTTTAATCATAATTTTCGCAAAAATGTCAACTTTGAGATACGAAGAAAAAAGTTTATATAAACCTTTGTCCGGAAATGCTTCGTTTCTGAGATACATGGTGTTGAAATTAAAATTTTATTTTCAATTTTTTTAAATAACTTATGAACACTCAACTGATTTTCCATTTTGGGCTATGAACCTATCATTTCACGAAATCACACTCAACTGTTAATTACGTATTTTTTCCATGAGGGAGGGACTAATTCCACTGAACTTTGATGGAGGTAATATATACGACATTTCCCTGCTTAGCCGAGAGATCAAAAGAAGGATTTGACCTCTAGATGACCTGCAAATGACCTTCAGAGGTCGGTTCGACCAACAGGCCGAGGGGTAAAAAAAATTGTATCATTCAAATTAATATGTTTGACCTTCATTTGACCTTGATCTAGAGTGATGGGGTCATAGGGACACCAGGATCGTGATTAGCGACCCCAAAAGCATAAAAGTTACCTAGTCTGGGAAAAAGGACTTTTCGATTTCTGTTTGTGGGCCTGTTATCATTAACAGTTGCAGTTGCAATTATTGGTTAGGAGCGTGTAGTTGTGTTTCACATTATCTGCGGATAAATTTGGTCGTTGCAGGTTAACGTTTATTTCGTCGACAGTTTCATCGTGGATTTTTTGGTCGCAATGTTACCATCAGTAAGTCTGACACCATGCTAAAATAGTATTGCCAGATGGTGGAAAAATAATCAAAATTGTTCATTATCTGCCTCATGCATAGAAGTATTACACTCATTGAATTAATCAATCGTTGTTTTTTGTTTTCAGGAGGAGCATTGACACAAACGTTCGACACATATGGTGAGTTTTATTAATTTTTAATCTTTAGTATTCCTAGTACTGCATAATTGACATATAATATGTGTTCCTTTAAACACAATAATTTATTCCATCTTTTATTTATTTCATAAGCACTTACCTGGGGTTGAACAAATTGTTTTCGTAGAACATATGTAATTTGTTGCGTTTCATGCAGATCGTGACTTAGGTCTAAATAAATGCGCCGTAACTTAAGTTAAGTAGTCGAGATAATAAAAAAAATTTATACAGCCAAATTGTACAACATTTACTCCTCTCCAACTTTTATTAAAGTTATTAAAACAAAAATGTTTACAAGACCAGTCCAGTGCTAAACGATTTTTTTGTCATGTAATGCGCAAAAATCATCCTGTTTGGATTTTTTTATAAACGACATCTTTATTGGATTATTATGACTATGTTTTATTTATTTTTTTTGTGAATATAAAAGCTAACTTGTAATTACGTTTAGTGTGAATTGTAGTTTTGTATTGTTACCGAAATTTTCTCCACTGATTATATATAATCCCTTAAATAGCCTACCTTTTCTAAATATGCAAGTTATTTTACTGTTTACATTGTATTAATTATTCTTTTTTTTTCTTTTAGGAGGACTAGTGGATCAAAGGATCGACACAGGAAGTGAGTTATTATTAATTTTTAAGTATTTCTAATCCTGCATAATTTACAGAAATTATTGGAAATATGTAATAATAAAAATTTACTGTATGTATTGAATTAATCAATTTTTCTTTTTTGCTTTCAGTTGGAGCAGTGGTACAAACATTCCGCACATATGGTGAGTTATTAATAATTTTTAAACTTTAGCATTCCTAGTACTGCATAATCATTGACATAAATTATTGGAAAGGAACACAATAATGTATTCCATCATTCATTTATTTCATAAGCACTTACCTAGGATTGAGCAAATCGTTTTCGAAGAACATATGTATTTTTTTACATTTTTCCTTTCAAATTGGAAAGCTTTCGAAGACTTTGTTGGTGGCAACGATTACATATAACCACTTAACCACCATTTGTTGTGGATTCCTATCAATTGTGTATTCGGGAATAATGTACTTTAGAGCAAGAAATAAAGGTGAAAAATTATTGAGAAAATTACTGGGCGTGATTTTATTGTTGGAAAATCTTGGGAATGATAATACAAGAGGCGTTTCATCAAATTGGTCATGAAAAAAATATAGCGACATTGTTTTTTTTATCAACAAATAGGTAAAAAATTCGCCATTCGTCGTTCGCGTTATTGTAAAAAAACTATTAATCTTAGCAAAAAATGTTCAACAGAAATTTGATCTAGAGAAACTCATCTTTAAAATGAGACTTTATAAGTTAAAATTGCTTTATAAACAAAAAATTTATTGCAAAATTAAAAGGAAAAAGTGCTTTTTCTTTAATTGTTAATAACTTTTTAAATAATTAATAAAATCTTACCAAACTTTCCCAAAATGTGAGTTTTTATACCCTTAAGAGATGTGCAAGAGATGGGCTCGATCGATCAAATAGTTTTTGCAAAATTCCAATTATTTATTTTCAAATGACTATTCCGGGGGCAGGGTTATGACTAAAACGTTCTTTTTGGGTGGTAATAGTTTAAATAACTAGATGGATTTCACAGGGTCTAACGACACTTACAGTGTACAATAATTCAATAAATAAAGAAATGTAAATAAAAAATTTAGATAAATGGCCATGAAGGCTGGCAAGAAATGTAATAAAATTTCTAGGGTCGTATTTAAAAAATTGAAGTTGATGATGGTCCTGGAGAGACGAAACGTTACATATAAAAATTGAGTATGCCATTCGATAGAGGGTAAAGAGTGGCCTTGAGAAAGTGTTCTTCTTTTTTCAATATCACACAAGGCTGAAATGAAACAAAAATGGATTTCCAATATTTCGGTTTTTTTCAAATACTTCGAAAACTGATCATGTTAGCCTTGATTTCTTAGAGGCATAATGTTGGTCCCCTGATTACGCAACCTTGCCCCCATTTAAGCTATACTTCGTGCCTCTTACCGTTTCCGAGATCCCTGTAGTGACAGGCGAATTTGTAACAGCCTGTATCAGTTTATTTTCTTAAATTCCGTTGGGGACACAGAATTTTTTAATGTTTTATTTTCATAATTCTCATAGCCCTCCTCTGGACAGTGTGACATTAAATAATGTCTATATAAGGCATCTTTTTTTATTTTAGTCAGTGGCGTATCATTTATTTCGCAAAAGGTTCTCTGTAATAACAATTCATACGACTAGGTTTTTTAATCAACTTCTACCTGATTCTACCTGATGATATGGCCCAGGATGTTATTCATCATGTAAAATTTAAAAAAAACTAATTGCTATATAGATTTTGGCTAATTTTTTTTTTAAATTAAACACCCTGTATCTTGAAAGTAAAGCATCTGTTGACCAATTTTTATTAAAGCTACTGCCATTAATTTTCGTCATAGAATCTAATTGTGAAAGGACCATTCTTTAGCAGACATCCTGTATATGTATAATGCAGTTCTGTTAGAATATGTTTTTGAAATAAAGGTTACTAATAGTATAGTTTTCCTTTAATTATATTAGAAAAGTTACTTTTTTGGTCACTTGGTCATTTTTTTTTTAATATTTTGTGTTCAAGCTCTGTTATCTACAGGGAAGTCCATAGTACACTGACAGATTTAAGCATGTAATAACTACTTTATTTGTGGCCAGATTTTGAATTTTTTGAAAAAATTAAAACATGTAATAAAAATACCCAGTAGAGCTTTTGTAAGAGTCGATTTGTTTTATGCATTTGAGTTTCGACAAGAACCCCAACCCAAGAAAATCGCTTCACATCAAGGTATTTTAAATTTCTTTATAAATATACAGTATAGCCCATCGAAAACGTACCGCAATGCATTACAGGGTAGTAATGAACTTTTCGGCAAAATCCAAAAACAGGTAAAGTTTGCTTCTGAGGGGGACAACTTTTGGCGCAAAAAGCATAGCAAAATCTTCAACCCCCTAAGTGGGGGTGCCATCCCCCAAATTTTTTTAAATGGGAATGGGGGTCAAGTGGGGGGTCATTAGAAAGGGCTTTTAATTCTCTATACATCGATTCTTACTTTTTGAAAATCGATCCATTATTTTAGAAAATATGCAGCTTTGAAAATACGAACAATATTTTTGACGAGAAATGCGAAAATCGATTTAATTTTACTTCAAAACTTACGGTATTAGCTTGGTAAATTCCTTCAAAAGAATTCTTTTTTTTTTTCTGATTTGCGAATTCTTTAGCCTGATTTTGGTGAGCAAAAAATTGTCCGCTTTTTGTTTCGTATTTAGATAGGCCACAAGAAGTTGCTAGATAACTGTCTTGTGACTTGTAGTTGAAGAGTACCAATACTGCCGAGTCTTTTAAATTGATTAATTATGGTGTACTCAATTCCAGAAAGAGTAGAAATTATTGAGCTTTTTTTCAAAAACAATGAATGCGGAAATCGGGTCGCCGAACTGTTCAACCAACGGCATCCTGAGAAACATGCGTCTGGAAAAATTGTTCGCGAATTGGTGGCCAAATTTCGCGAAACTGGCTCCGTTCATAACAAAAAGAGGCAGGTTGAAAATCCGGTACTAAATGAACCTACGGAAATAGCGGTATTGGGGCAAGTGGCAATGGATAGTACGCTGAGTACAATGCAATTGGCTACTGCGACAGGAGTGAGTCGTACAAGTGTCCAACGAATATTAAAAAAATACAAATTCCATCCTTATAAGATTCGGCTAGTGCAAGAGCTAAATGAAGACGATTTTGATCGTCGTTTGCAATTTTGCGAAATAATGACTGAACGAGCGATAAACGATAATTTCCTCTTTAATGTGTGTTTTTCGGACGAGTGTACGTTCTTCTTGAATGGTTTAGTGAATCGCCATAATTGTCGTTACTGGGCTGATACCAATCCAAGGATTTTCCATGAGACACACTCCCAACACCCCCAGAAGTTGAATGTATGGGCAGGTATTTTTGGAAATTCCATTGTAGGTCCTTTTTTCCTTCCTGGAAATTTGACAGGCGATATGTACTTGGATTTACTACAAAATGTCATCGACCCAGCTCTAACAAATATCATAGAGGACGACCCTGCTTACAATGAACACGAACTGATTTTCCAGCAAGACGGAGCTCCTCCACATTACTCGCTCAATGTGCGCAATTACCTAAATGAGACGTTTCCAGGACGCTGGATAGGACGAAGAGGTGCAATTGAGTGGCCCCCTCGGTCACCCGACTTAAATCCTTTAGATTTCTTTCTCTGGGGGCACATTAAAAGCAAAGTTTACAGCACTCCACCTGATACCTTGGAAGATCTGCGAGGACGAATCATTAATGTATGTCGCGAAGTAACACCGCAAGTGCTCCAGAATGTTCGACAACGGTTTGAAGACAACCTGTATCATTGTATGCAAGTTGGCGGACAACATTTTCAGCATTTACTTGACTAATACCGTAAGTTTTGAAGTAAAATTAAATCGATTTTCGCATTTCTCGTCAAAAATATTGTTCGTATTTTCAAAGCTGCATATTTTCTAAAATAATGAATCGATTTTCAAAAAGTAAGAATCGATGTATAGAGAATTAAAAGCCCTTTCTAATGACCTCCCACTTGACCCCCGTTCCCATTTGAAAAAATTTAGGAGATAGCACCCCCATTTAGGGGGTTGAAGATTTTAGTATGCCTTTTGAGCCAAAAGTTGTCCCCCTCAGAAACAAATTTGACTTGTTTTTGGATTTTGCCGAAAAGTTCATTACTACCCTGTAATGCCTTGCGGTACGTTTTCGATGGGCTATCCTGTATACATATTAATGCGTGAAATGAACTGACGAACGAGCAAACCAGGAAGTACGACGCAAATCTGGAAAGCCTCGCTATCAGAGCTTCTTATTTACCCACCAAAGTGTCAAATTATTATTATGATTACGTTTTACTTATTTATTTTTTTTACGCTTAGTATGAATTTTAGTTCTGTATTGTTACCGAAATTCTCTCTTCTGATTATAATTCGTTAAAATATGCAAATTTTTGCCTACTTGTAAAAATTTATTATTTACATTGAATTAATCAATCTTTCTTTTTTTTGCTTTCAGGAGGATCTATTTCACAAGTAATTAACACAAATGGTGAGTTATTATTAATTTTTAAGTTTTAGTATTCCTAGTACTGCATAGTTGACTGAAATTATTCGAAAGAAACACAATAACGTATTCCATCAATCATTTATTTCATAAGCACTTTCCTGGGATTGAGTAAATCGTTTTCGTAGAGCATATGTAATTTGTTGCGTTTTTTCGTTCAAATTGGAAAGACGTTGTTGGTGTTAACGATTACATATCGACGCGTTACTACAAAAATATGCTGTCTCAAATTTAGCTTGGAAAGCATGCTATCTAAAATTGTACTTGGAAAAGATGCTACCTACCTAAAATTGCGTGTGCTACCTCACAATCAGATTGAGCTGGGAAAACATGCTATCTCGCAGAAAATTAAGTTTGACTAGAAATTTATGCTGGCTGCATTGGCGTTGAAATACACATTGAATGATTAAAATCGTGTATGTACTTCTAATAAACTTATACAGGGTGGCCAAATGAAAACGAAACAGAGCCATTTTCAGGAACTGCGTCAAGATTGTAGAAAAACACTCAGACCCGTCGATTTTAGATTAAAGGGGGATTAAAATCAAAATTCTTAATAAGTATTGGGCGGAATTATAAAATTTAAAGTCTGTTGTAAAGAGAATTGTAATAACTTTCAAAAGAAGTATTACTCAACCCCCAACGCTATTTAAATATTTTGGGGTGATGCTTACCCTTGCTTGGGGGTGAAAGTGGCAGAGTCAAAAATACCAGCAAAGAATGTCCCCCTTTATTCTAAAATCGACGGGTCTGAGCATTTTTCTACAATCTTGACGCAGTTCCTGAAATTGGCTCTGTTTCGTATTCATTTGGCCACCCTGTATAATATATTTTTCAAAAAGTAAGGAATATCTATGTTCAGGTACAATGTTTATTCTATTTTTTTAATTCAACCTTTTTCAATTAATTTTGTTAACTTAAACTTAAATAACAAGTTATAAAAAAATTGTTGGTTATTAGCCAAATGCATCGGGGTATTACAATCATTGAAAATAAAAATTTAATCATATAATGAGCATATCCAGTAGAGCTTCTGTAGAATCGGTTTGTCTTATGCATTTGACTTTCGATGAGAACCCCAACTCAACAAAATCGCTTCACATCAAGGTATTCTAAATTTCTTTATATAAATAAATAAATCCTGATGCCCCCGCTACCTCGGCGTCTGATTTACCCACCCAAGTGTCAAATTTTCATGTATATACAAACCAATTTTTAATTACTCTTAGTATGAATTATAGTTCTGTATTGTTACCGAAATTCTCTCCTCTGATTATAATTCGTTAAATAGCCTACCTCTTGTAAATATGCAATATTTTTGTCTACAAAAATTTACGGTTTACATTGAATTGATCAATATTTCTCTTTTGCTTTCAGGAGGAGCAGTGACACAAGTATTTGACACACAGGGTGAGTTATTAACTTTTAAACTTTAGTATCCCTAGTACTGCATAATTGACAGAAATTATTGGAAAGGAACACAATAATGTATTCTATTTTTCATTTATTTCATAAGCAATTATTTGGGATTGTGAAAATCGTTTTCCTAGAACATATGTAATTTGTTGTGTTTTTCTGCTCATATTGGAAAGTTTTTGAAGACGTTATTGGTGTTAACGATTATACAGGGTGATTCACAACTTATCCAAAAAAAATTGGGAATAGATGCAGCATGAGAAATGGAATCAATATCGTAAAAAAATATTTGTAAAATCCTTATAGTTTCCGAGAAAAAAAATATAGTTATAGTACATTCATCCACTACATAGCTGGACAACTGTAGTCTCTAGCGTCATTCGCCACGTGGCCTCAGCGACTCCGAATACTGAATTCGGATTTTGCAATCGTTGCGATATTTACCTGTTATCTGTGGTGATTGCAATACCTAGGTTTTTAGTAGTTAGTGTCAAAAATGGTTTGCGTGTACTCGGAGTTGATGGATATCGTTTTAATTTATGGTGAAGCATTTGTGTTATGGTGAAACAAGACAACATTTGTGTTAGTTCGTAGAAACTGAGTACAACAAACCCAAATGTGTTTACACATCGGTGGATAAAATTTTGAACAATTGTTGTAACATCGGGTATGTCAAATTATTTTATTATTTAAAAACACAAATTAATTTTATTAATTAATAAAGGCAAAATCAGTTTAATTTGCCGATATAAAATAGGTGCTATAAAATTCTATTTACATATTTCTTTCCTTGCGAAAGTTTTTGTCCGTTTTTATCACACTGCCATGCCGATCGCATTGTGCGAGGTCAGGTTTTACAGTGGACCAGTTTCCAGTACCGTGCAGAAGTGTATTTTTAAATCATTTTCGAACTGCCCTTTTTGATTTTTTCTTTACAAAATTGTATTTGTAAGGGTCCCCTGTACATCGAGATTTTCTTTTAGGATAAGTTCTGAATCACCCTGTATACGAGTATAACCACTTAGTCGGCGTTACCATTCCTTTGTTGATTCCTATGACTTGAGTATTCGTACTCGATAATAATGCGTTTGTATGGGCAAAAATTTAACGTTTTCATATTACCTGGTGGGGGACGAACACTTACGAGTAATAGGGACATGATACATCAAATATGGAATGATCAGTTTTTAATTTTAAGTTTAGTTTACCATTGACAGTAAAACAATTTCCACAACTGACTTCGTTCACACAATCATTTTTGGTATGGCCATATTGACCACATTTTAAACATCTGTTGGTATCACATTCGGAAATTTTGTATTCAGAGTCACCACATTTAAAACCATCTAAAGAAATTCACATGCCCAAATATTCTGGAAGGAGTCCATCCTATGCTCAGTCTTCCTTGTTCTAAAATCTTCTTCTGAAGTGTCAAATTATTATGATTACGTTTTATTTATTTTTTTTTGTGTATGTAAAAACCAATTTGTAACTAGGCTTAGTATGAATTATTATCGTTCTGTATCGTTACCAAAATTCTTTCCTCTGATTCGTTAAATAGCCTGCCTCTTCTAAATATGCAATATTTTTGCCTACTTATAGAAATTTACTGTCTACATTGAATTAATCAATGTTTCATTGTTTGCTTTCAGGAGGACCAGTGACACAAACAATCTACACACGTGGTAAGTAAACTTTAGTAGTCCTAGTACTGCATAATTGATTGATATTATTGGAAAGGAACACAATAATGTATTCCATTATTCATTTATTTCATAAGTACTTACCTGGGATTGAGTATATTATTTTCGTAGAACATGTGTAATTTGTTGCGTTTTTCCGTTTCAAATTGGAAAGCTTTTGAAGACGTGGTTGGTGTTAACGATTATACACTCTGTCCTAAAATGATGGAAAAAGTTGCTAAAACAAGTCAATTAGTAAATAGAAATTGTCACTTTCCTGCAAAATTTTCTATTTTTTTAGCCATTTTTGACAGACCTTTAACATTCAAACAGATCTGTACATGGGTATGGTTAAATAAATATGGGAACAAGTTTTTCAAATATTTCAGTGACGAGTTGCTGCGTTAGCGACAGTACCTGGTACATTCTATCAACCTCTTGGTTCTTCAATTGATATCGGAAAGAGTATACCATCAATAAACCTGACACCATGCTAAAACAGTATTGCGGGATGGTGGAAAAATAATAATCATCTCATTGAACAGAAAAATTTGATCATGTAATAAAAATACCCAGTACAGTCCTGTGGTCGTCGGTTTGTTTTATAGATTTGACTTTCGATAAGAACCTCAGCTACAAGAAAATCGCTTCACATCGAGGTATTTTAAATTTCTCTATATCGGGGTGTCCCGGTACTTCGTCCCGTCGTTAACAAGTTACGGGCCATTACAGGTGAAAATTAAAAAGTTTTTTTATTTACAATCTCTAAACAATTAACTTCAGCATGATACAAATTTGGTGATCGATAACACATGCGCACAGCTTGATTTTGATGTTGTAAGTGAAACTTCATTATGCCCAGAACGCCAGGGACGGACTATGCCCAATGGTTAACAACCCAGAATTTTTGCATAGATGACGATCGAAATCTGCCTGTATTAAAAATAACTTCTCCTGAAGAATTTGGTAAGGCTAATACCTTCTTGCTTCAACTCGGAAAAATTAACAGTTTAGGAAATATGTGTGATTTTGGTCACATGCACATCGACCGGCACCATTAAAAAAAAATTAATTGGTCATAAATACTATGTTACAATCGTACATATTTTTAAAATAAGAGCATAGAAAATTTTACTATCTGCTAATGCAATTTTCACTAACAAAATTTGACAAACACACTTTATACAAAACACAAACTAGAAAAACAAAACAAGAATAAGTTTAAGTTAAAATAATAATTTAAAAGAAAGAAAAATGAAAGTAGCTTTTTAATTTTCACTTTTAAGGAGCCGTAACATGTTAACGAAGGCCCGTACGAAAAAAATATAGATGAAGAACTGATATTATTTTGACCTCATCTATTTGTACTCGATTATTTTGTACCAAGTACCGGGACACCCTGTATAATATACTAATGCGTGAGATGAACTGACGAACGAATTTTATTATTAATATTATTATTAATTAATAATTAATTTATTTAATCAAAAAATTTTTTTTGTGGATATAAATATCAATTTGTAATTACGCTTAATATGAATTATAGTTCTGCATTGTTACCGAAATTCTCTCCTTGATTATAATTCTCTAAATAGCTTACCTCTTCTAAAAATGCAATATTTTTGTCTATTTATAAAAATTTCCTGTCTACGTTGAAGTAATCAATTTTTTTTTTTTTGCTTTCAGGAGGAGCAGTGACACAAACTATCCACACACAAGGTGAGTTATTGTTAATTTTTCAATTTTTGTGGTCCTAGTAGGTACTGCAAAATTGATTGGAATTATTGGAAAGGAACACAATAACGTGTTCCATCATTCATTTATTTCATAAGCACTTACCTCGGAATGAGCAAATCGTCTTTGTAGAACGTATGTAACGTTGTGGCGTTTTTCCGTTCAAATTTGAAGACGTTGTTGGTATTAACGATTCCTATGACATGCGCGTATTCGTATTCAGAAATAATGCATTTGTGTGAGCAAAAATGGGAAGTTTTTATGCGATGAACACTTATGTTCTTGTAATTGAATTGATAGGAATAACAAGGCGTCCTCGAAGATGTCCTCTTAAAAAAGATCCTCTTAAAGATGTTGCTCTTAAATAGACCTATCAACCCTTTAAAATATAATCATTTATGTTACCATCTCGTTTTATTATCCGCGAAAGAAACATATAATTTATCATCTCTCAAAAAAATAAAGAATAAACGAAAATACAACTTTTTATACAAGGTATAAGTTTGAATAGAAGTCACATTTATAGGGAGGTTACATTTCACCTAGAAACATATAAGTATATTTTCTTAAATTCCGTCGGAAACAGAATTTTTTAACCTTTTTTTTCATAACTCATAACCCCGTCGCTGGACAGTGTGACATTGAACAATCTCTCGCGTTAGTCGCAGTGCATACACACTTGATTACTACGGTATGCGTTGTTGTCAAGGTTTTACGAAACGCACACATTACGAAACACATAAACGAAAAAACAGCAAACTCAAACAGTAATAATTAAATAATGATAAATGAATTACAAAAAATAAGTAAATGTTGTGAAGCTTGTGTTTGTTGTGCACTCATATGACATTTGTAAATGTGGTGGGTAATTTTCGAGTATTAGTACCAGGATTCTCTTAAATCTTGAATCAGTCTTCCACACATTTTCTTATTTCTTACTTGTCTCTCGGGATAATTCATCTGATAATCGACTTCCTTCAGCAGCATCCTATTCGCTGAGAAATAGTGGACTGTATCCATATCAACACTTTCTTCATTCGTTTACATGATTTTTCATAATGTCATTCAGAGACTTGTAAATGAAAACACAAAAATACACTATACCATCACTAAACATTGAAATAAATAACTTTTTTCGAAAACTATTATCAAAAATCGACATTTTGGTTAAATTCAGTTGACAAAGTGAGTCTTCTTTATCACTTCGCTACAAAATACTTTTTTATCTTTCACTTATGCTATATAGCTTGTTTATTACTAGGAAACGGAATAGGAAAACAATGTCATATCGCTCTAGGAGGAAATAAGCTGACCTAAATATTATCGCCCGCATTTTGACCCTGTACCCTTCTTTTCTGCAAAGGTAGAATAGTAAATGTGCCTCGTATAAATGAAGCAGACAAATGAAAGTACAAAGTTTATTAACTTTAATATTTGATATATAACAATAATTTGCTTTAAATTAATAACAAAAATCATTTACAACTGTCTTTAAAAACGAAAGTACAATTTGAGAAGGAACCTTTAACAGTAACACCAGAAAAACTACCTAAATTTTCTTTGCCATCGAATAAATGTTGTTCATTTTCCCTCACAATCAATTCAGAAAAATTATCATCACTAGTTCTTTCGACTCCTGCTATTTTGTTTTTGGACGTTATGCTATCTTCAACATATCCTGAAGCTACAGTATATCACTCTCCCATTTTCCGTGTCTTTTCAATGTTATCATATCTGCACCTGCGTCTATGAGAAGAGTTGCCGATGTACGACGTAAACAATGACCTACGTATATTTTAGCATCTGCGTAGCCGAGATATTTTGCAACCTGGACGGTATGCCACCGAAGGTATCCATACAATTGGAGAGCATGCATTTCATTTTCTTACACAATAGTAAAAGATTTTGGTACTCCAGTTTTTGTATTGTTAATTTTTACTACAACAACGACTCCTTTTCATCTACACCATCTATCGAGAGCTTTACCAAATCATCTCTCCTTAATCCTCCAAAAACACCTATTACTAGAACAACCTACAATAGCAAAAACCTATTAAGCACATACAATAATATAGCAAATTATTTCCTAATTTCAAAAGATATGTATGACTTGATGCTTCTCTAATATCCTCTCTTGTCAATATCTTACATTATTTTGGCATATATCCTTTCGATATTTGCTTCTCCTACATTTACTTTTCTGCGCACTAATAATGTGGTCTTCAACATTGAAACTTTGTACACTATGTATTAGAACTGAATGATTCTGACTAAAAGACATATAAAAATAATAAATTATCACAAGCTATAACTATTTCTTTAAAGTGATAAAAGGTAATGTATTACACACCAGTTCTTGAAAATATCCTATTAATATAGTTTCACTAACAGCTGTCACTGAATTTCTGTTTGTCCAAGTCTCAAAACGTTTATATTCTTTATCATAAAGTAATTTAGATCTTTTGGGCAGTAATTTTTCATTGACTTTATTGGCTGTAGCAGCAACTACTGCTGGAATATTATCCATTCTGCCTTTTCAATATATCGCCTCAGAATCAAACATCAAACTATCAAAATCAACTTTGCGGGTGTCGTTGATACATACTTCTGGAATACATCGTTTCCATTCTCATTTACATTTAATTATTAAATTTAAAATAAATATAAAATCAGACGTCTAAATAATAAATATAACGCTGAAGGCACCATGGGAGGTACTAGGATAATTATGCTGTCAGTTATCGTAGCTTTTAGTTCTGGATGTTCAATGAGGCTGCTGCTGTAATTGTTTAAGTTTACTGCGCACGTTGTGTTTTTGGTAAATTCTGTAATCTCTGATGGAGATGGTAACAATTTATTTGCGATTGAATATTTTGTCGACACTTTGATCGTGAATTTTTTGCTCGCTAAAATAGTATTGCGGGATGGTGGAAAAATAATCGAAATTGTTGATTATCAACCAGATGCTTCGGAGTATTACACTCATTGAACATAAAAATTAGATCATAAAATCCGGTACAGCTTTTGTAGAGTTGGCTTGCTTTATGTATTTGATTTTCGATCCCATTTTAACAAAACCGCTTTACATCAAGGTATTTTAAATTTCTTTATATTTTATTAATGCGTAAAATGAACTGACGAACGAAACAAACCGCGAACTACGACGTAAATCCTGATGCTCCCGCTACCTCATCATCTTAATTTGCTTGTGTTTAATTATTATTATGATAACGTTTTATTTATTTTTTTTTGTGCATATGAAAACCAATTTATAATTATGTTTAGTATGAATTATAGTTCTGTATTGTTACCGAAATTTTCTCCTCTGACTATATTTCGTTATATTTCTACTTATAAAAATTAACTGTCTGCATTGAAGTAATAAATCTCTCTTTTTTGCTTTCAGGAGGAATACGGTCACAAACAATCGATACAGGAGGTGAGTTATTATTAATTTTTAAACTTTAGTGTTCCTATTACTGCAAAATAGACTATTTTAGTGTGATGTCACATATTTAGGCAACCGGCAATATATTTTAATACCGAATCTGACCCTTCTGTCGTATTTACATAGATACTATAAAACTGAACAACTTCAAAATAATTTATTTTTACAAGGATTTAATGTCATTTTTGTTTCATTCCTTGATTATCAATTAAAAATTGTTAATTTTGTTTCACTTTTTAGTAAATGTTTTTTTATTTTTGTTAATTATATGCATGGGGAGTAAAATAATTGAGTTAGACAAAAAATTGTTTGTAATAATTGTTGTGTATAATACCTAGTACAAGTAACAAATATACGAGATACTTATTTGCTTAAATTCGTAACACACTCAAGGTAGGTAGATCTAGGTGGTAGACTACTATGTGAGAAACTGTATCGTGTCTTGACTCCAAGACTCAAGACGTTTGGGTGAAGACACGATACAATTTCTCTCATCCTTAAGTTTGCTAAGGTATGCTCAATATTATTATATGTAATGATCATAAAATAATATAATGTAAATATAAATTGCAGTAAAATTAAGAGTATAAAAAAGTTTTCAATAGGCATAATACTGGTAACTAATGAATGTTATGAAAATGTATTGTGTACTCCCTGAAGATGAATTTAATAAACGAAACATCAGAGATAAATATCTTGTCTCAATAAATTTAACCTTGACATACCAGTAAATTAAATAAAAAATCGAGCAATTTTAACTTACACGTACATGTTCAGATTCGGTTGGAATTGATATTCCAATTCAATTTTTCTTCTATGGATTCTAATCGATATACAGATTTTCGGATGTACAGTCGGCGCCACCCAAATGTGAACGGCAATATTGTACCGTGTAATTTATACTTCAAATCATAGTCGTAAAATTCAATAGTTGTCAAATATACATATACAAGGTGTCCAGAAACTATTCTGCCAAACGAAAACTACAGGTACTAGAGGTTATTTTATATCAATTTAACTAAAATTACCTTAATCCGAAAATGCTTCCTAAGTGAGCTATAGCCCTTTGAAGAAGACATCGTGATATGAGTTTTCTTTTAATTATTCAAAGATGCCTTTACTTAAAAATTTCAAACTTTGTATGATCAATAAACGGATACAAACCCGTCATTCGCTGTAATTATTTTTTTTTTGTTACAACCACCACAAGCGTATCAGTAGGGGGAGACAAACGGGTATTTTTTATTAAAAATGTTTTATTTTTTACTTTTTTTTTTGTATCCGACATCAAATTTGAAAAATTCAAGATAATTTTCATAAAAAATGTCCTCTTCTTTAAAATCGATATCATGAACCGTTTTCGAGAAAAATAAATTTAAACTTTTCGTGTTTCTATCATCATGTTTCATGTAATTTATGGTTCATGCACGACGGCTGCCCAGCTCATTTTAGTAGAGACGTTCGTCAGTTTCTCGACAATAACTATGACGACAAATGGATTGGAAGAGGTGGTCCAGTTAATTGGCCCCCAAGATCTCCAGATTTAAACCCCTGTGATTTTTGTATTTGGGGTTATTTAAAATCATTAGTCTATGCTATTACAATAGAAACCCGTAATCAGCTGTGGCAAAGAATTCAAAACGCTTGTAATGAAATTAGAAATAATGCAGGCATTTTTCCAAAAATTAGACGGTCTTTAGAGAAAAGAATGAATTTATGTATTGAGACAGATGGTCGTCATGTAGAGCATCTATTGTAAAATTAATTATCTTATTTATGTCGTTAATTATCTATATTTTTATTTTTTATTTTAATTTTATTTTATGTATTTAAATGTTAATTGTTGTTTTATACCCTCACGAAATAAAATTATTTTAAAATTTCCAAAACAATGTAAGCAACTTAATACTTACGACTTTTATTATCAGTATTTGTAAATTTTGTTGATTTTTCAAAGCCAACTTGATATTACAAATAAATCATTTTTAATAAAAATACCCGTTTGTCTCCCCCTACCGATACGCTTGTGGTGGTTGTAAAAAAAAATTAATTACAGCGAATGACGGGTTTGTATCCGTTTATTGATCATACAAAGTTTGAAATTTTTAAGTAAAGGCATCTTTGAATAATTAAAAGAAAACTCATATCACGATGTCTTCTTCAAAGGGCTGTAGCTCACTGCTTAGGGAGCATTTTCGGATTAAGGTAATTTGAGTTAAATCGACATAAAATAACCTCTAGTACCTGTAGTTTCCGTTTGGCAGAGAGTTTCTGGACACCCTATATGTCATTTAGAGCAAACGTAATTAAATGTAAACATGTAACGTGAATATGCCGGAGCATTTAACTGAAGCGCATAGAGCAAGGGCTATATCTAAATTAGAAGATAATTGGTCTTTGAGTGAAGTGGCTGCTGATTTAAATGTCAGTAAGAGTTCGGGAAGGTTTCCAGTGACGCGGAAGACAATGTCGAATTTATCCATAAGAATACCCTCTCTGTGTTACGCCACTAAAAAAAGTCTAATTTACTACGATAAAATTCAGATGAAATTTCCATAACTACCAAAATGCGTTCACATTTGGGTAGCGTCAACTGTACTACCGGTTTGATTCGACATTTCGATGCGATTCGACAATTCGATGCGATGCGATATCTCGATCTGATTCGATATTACGATTCGTTATTTCGATTCGATATTCCAATTCGATTTTTTCTGGAAATCGATTAATCGATTCAAAAATAAAATCGATTGGAATCGATATATCGATTTTTTGCCCAGGCCTAGACGTAGTTTTTCTTTACTTATATTAGAAATGTCGTTTTTCTGGCCACTTGTCACTTTTTTAATATTTTCAGTTCAAGCTTTATCTACAGAGAAGTCCATAATACACTCACAGATTTAAGTATGCAACAACTATTTTATTTGTGGCCAGAATTTGAATTTGTTTGAGGAGGTACAAAACCTCCTCAAACAAATTCAAATTTGACAGCTCTCTCGTAGATTTTTTGGTCGCAATAGTAGTCTGATACCACAAGAATAAATAACAACTTTATTCTTGTGTTGATACCATGCTAAAATCTTATTGCGGGATGGTGGAAAAAAAATTATCGAAATTGTTCATTATCGACCGCATGTATCAGTAGTAGTATACTTATTGAACATAAAAATTTTATCCTAATAAAATAGCTAGTAGAGCTTCTGTAGAGTCGGATTGTTTTATGCATTTGACTTTCGATAAGAGCCCCAACCCAACAAAATCGTTTTACATCAAAGTATCTTAAAAGTCTTTATACAGTTTCTTCATAATTGTCCGAGACATTAGGGAACATAGCCTCTCCTAAAACCAAGCAAAGTCCTTGTCACAAATTCATATAAGATGTAATTAAAAGTCCCATGTCATAATGTTTATGTCAATTATGGAATTTGGTAAGTTTAATACATTTAACATTATAAATTTTCTAAAATTTGGTCACCCAAATGTCAGCAGCGTTCTTTATTGGCTCGGACATTTATAAAGGAACTGTATATAATACGTATATTAATGTGTGAGATGAACTGACGAACGGAACAAATGATTGCGTTTTTTTTTGTGTATATAAAAACCAATTTGTAATTACGCTTAGTATAAATTATAGTTCGGTATTGTTACGGAAATTCGCTCCCATGATTACAATCCGTTAAATAGCCTGTCTCCTGTAAATATGCAATATTTTTGCCTGCTTGTAAAAATTTACTGCCTACATTGAAGTAATCAATCTTTCTATTTTGTTTTCAGGAGGAGCACTGACACAAACATTCGACACAACAAGTGAGTTATTATTAATTTTTAAACTTTACTATTCCTAGTAGGTACTGCATAATTGACAAAAATTATTGGAAAGGAATACAATAATGTATTCCATCAGCAAATGGTTTTCGTAGAACATATGTAATTTATTGCATTTTTCCGTTGAAATTGGAAAGCTTTTGAAAATGATTACATGTAACCGCTTAGTCGGCGTTACCATTCTTTTGTTGATTCCTATGACTTGCGCATTCATACTAGGAAATAATGCATTTGTGTGAGCAATTTCTATTATACATATGTTCATTTGGCGAACAACATATTTTAATTATTTATATCCTCAAACGATTTTATTATATCTTGTTCCGTTTCAAAATGTCTCCAAAATGCCATGTTGTAATAATATTATTTCTCCCTGTCGTAATTGTAATATCAATGATTAATAGAAGGTGCCTATAATAAATTAAAATTACTTGAATCACACCAAATTCCGCATTACTGTACTGCACTGTTGGGCAATTTGTCAACCAATTTACAACAGCAGAGATTTATTGCCCAGTGGTCCAATGCAGCTGTGTTTGTATTTTTTGCCCACGCTCGCATTCTTCAACTGGGCGTATACATTTCTACCACCTCCACGTATAGTTCGACCAGATCTGTACATGGGTATGGTTAAATAAACATGGGAACAAGTTTTTCAAATATTTCAATGTACATACTGTCAACCTCTTGGTTCTTCAATTGATATCGGAAAGAGTATACCATCAATAAGCCTGACACCATGCTAAAACAGTATTGCGGGATGGTGGAAAAATAATCATTTCATTGAACAGAAAAATTTGATCATGTAATAAAAATACCCAATACAGTCCTGTGGTAGTCGGTTTGTTTTATAGATTTGACTTTCGATCAGAACCTCAACCCAACAAAATCGCTTCACATCGAAGTATTTTAAATTTCTCTATATCGGGGTGTCCCGGTACTTCGTCCCGTCGTTAACAAGTTACGGGCCATTAAAGTTGAAGTTAAAAAGTTTTTTTATTTACAATCTCTAAACAATTAACTTCAGCATGATACAAATTTGTTGATCGATAACACATGCGCACAGCTTGTTTTTGATGTTGTAAGTGAAACTTCATTATGCCCAGAACGCCAGGGACGGACTATGCTCAATGATTAACAACCCAGAATTTTTGCATAGATCACGATCGCAATTTGCCTGTATTAAAAATAAGTTCCCTGAATAATTTGCCAACGATAATACCCTCTTGCTTCAACTCGGTAAAATTAACAGTTTAGGAAATATTTGTGATTTTATGTCACATGCACATCGAGCCATTCCACCATTTTTTTTTAATTTTTAATTGGACATAAATACTATGTTACAATCGTACATATTTTTAAAATAAGAGCCTAGAAAATCTTACTATCTGCTAATGCAATTTTCATTAACAAAATTTGACAAACACACTTTACACATAACAAAAACTAGAAAAACAAAACAAGAATAAGTTTAAGTTAAAAAATAATTTAAAAGAAAGAAAACTATCAAAATACATTTTCAATATGGACACCTTCCACCTCCACACACATCCTAACGCTACGAATGTTATTTGTTTGTACACGAAAAAGGGTAATACTTTAATAGGTCCATATGTTTTTGAGGAACGTCTGAATGGACATCGATATTTGAAGTTTTTGCAAAATAATTTTCAGCTACGATTAGACGATGTTCGAAGAAACGTTTGGTTCATGCACGATGGGGCTCCACCCATTTCAATATTGATGTACGAAGTAATATATCCATTGTGTTTAATAATAAATGGACTGGGAGAGGAGGCCCAATTTCATGGCCACCACGTCCTCCAGACCTTAACCCGATGGACTTCTTCCGTCGGGAAGTTTCGTGTACGCAACCCTAGTACAGACAAAGAATGTATTGCTAAAAAGAATTAATTTCCATTGTGATAATATTAGACATACCCCAGAAATGCTTTTTTGTGTACAAACAAATAACATTCGTAGACTTAGGAAGCGTGTGGAGGAAAGTTCTGATATTGAAAATTTATTTTGATAGTTTTCTTTCTTTTAAATCATTTTTTTAACTTAAACTTATTCTTGTTTTGTTTTCCTATTTTGTGTTATGTGTGTTTGTCAAATTTTGTTAGTGAAAATTGCATTAGCAGATAGTAAGATTTTCTAGGCTCTTTTGTTAAAAATATATACGGTTCTAACATAGTCGTTATATCCAATTAAAAATTAAAAACATAAAATGGTGGAGGCGCCGCTCGATGTGCGCTGTGACATACAATCACAAATATTTCCTAAACTGTTAATTTTACCGAGTTGAACCAAGAGGGTATTATCGTTGGCAAATTCTTCAGGGAACTTATTTTTGATATAAGCAGATTGCGATCGTCATCTGTGCAAAACTGTGCGTTCTGGGTTGTTAACCATTGGGCATAGTCCGTCCCTGGTGTTCTGGGCATATTGAAGTTTCACTTATAATATCAAAAACAAGCTGTAGGCATGTGTTATCGATCACCAAATTTGCATCATGCTGAAGTTAATAATTTAGAGATTGTAAATGAAAGTAGTTTTTTAATTTTCACATTTAAGGGGCCGTAACATGTTAACGAAGGCCCGTACGAAAAAAATATATATGAAGAACTGATATTATTTTGTACCTCATCCATTTGTACTCGACTTTTTTATCCCGGTAACACCCTGTATAATATACAGGGTGTTTTTAAATGAAGTAGCAAAAATGGTACCAGTGAATGTAGAGCCAAAAATAAGAGGATTGAAGTAAAAATACCTTATATAAAGGTTGCACCCCTGAGGCGATATATCCTCTTAAAGGAAGGGATTGAAATTCACATTTTAATTTTTTTCTTTAACATGAGGAATGCTAGAGACACGAAACTTGGTATGAGCATCCTACTAATAAAGTGACAACTTTTCAATATTTGTTCGATCATTGGCGTATTTTATAAAGGAGTGAAACAGCCAACCCCATTGCAATGTTTTATTAGAATTTTTTTATATGAGGCAAATAATTTATTTAAAAATATTTATTGGGAATACTGATCTATTGCGCAACTTTTTTACCGCTTGTAATTTTTCGATAAAGCCGATAGTTTTCTAGTAAAAAAAAAATTAGATGCGTCATCGTTCAATAAAGGGGTAATTGCGAAAATTTGTAAAAATAAAGTAGGCGGATGTCATAACAAATAAATTGTTATTTATCATATTAATAAATTGACACTTTTTGTCAATAAGCTGGTAATTTAATAATAACATTAAGAATAATTTGATATTAATTAATGAAAAATGTTTGATAACTTACGACTATGGGACATGTACTACATAAAGTTATTTATCTGAAATAAAATTTAATACAAGCGAAAAACAAGAAATGCAAAATTAAATTTAAATAATATTCTCGAAATAATTTCCATTTTGTTGCAAGCATAACCTAATACGTCTGTTGAAGTTATAAACGCACTCGCACAAACCATTCTTGGTTATTGCGAAGGTCATCTGCTGCCTGAAATATTCTTAAGCGTAGTTCTTCTAAGGAGGCAACAGGAGTGGAATAAACAATACTTTTTATGTGTCTCCACAAAAAGAAATTCGTAGGCGTTAGGTCAGGTGAACGTGCAGGCCAACAAACATGGGCAACACGACCACGACCAATTCAGCGATTCGGGTAATTTAAATTTAATCATTCTCTAACGGCAAGTGTACTATGTGCAGGCGCCCCATCGTGCATATATCACATCACCTGACGTGTAGTTCAAAAATCTAAGATATTCGGCCACTCCAAGCCTGTGTGGAAGAATAAAAGGACCTACTAGACTACTAGTGTATTTCCTATAATTCCCATCCAAACGTTTAAACTGAAATTATGTTGACATCTTGAAACAAATATTTCATGAGTATTTTCTTCCGACCATAAATGAATATTATGAAGGTTTACTGCACCTACTCTAGGAAAATTTGCTTCATGGGTGAAAAGTGTATTCATTAGGAAATTTATGTCATGCCTGGAAATATTAATGTACCATTGACAAAAATCCACGCGATTAGGTAAATCAGGATCATTCAATTCCTGTGAAAGTGTTATAAAAGATTTTCATGAGCTACATTCCACACACGACTGTGAAAAACTTGCAGTTACCTTCTTTCCACCGAGGCCAATGTTTGTCTATGAGGAATCGGTCGGTTTGGATATCTTTGGTGGTATAATCTTACTGCAACGTTAATATTTTTTCTGAATACACTTATTGAAAGCATGTCGACATATTCGTCATTGGTATAAATATTATTTGGCATAAATATTCTGATAATAAATTAATCAATTGATACTACTTAATGGTTGGAAATTTCTAATAAAATATTGCAATGGGGTTACACCGAAGTGTAAAATTATTATTATATTATGATTACCTTTTATTAAATTTTTTTGTGAATATAGATACCAATTTGTAATTACGCTTAATATGAATTATAGTTCTGCATTGTTACCGAAATTCTCTCTTTGATTATAATTCTCTAAATAGCTAAAAATGCAATATTTTTGTCTATTTATAAAAATTTCCTGTCTACGCTGAAATAATCTTTTTTTTTTGCTTTCAGGAGGAGCAGTGACACAAATTATCCACACACAAGGTGAGTTATTGTTAATTTTTCAATTTTAGAAGTCCTAGTAGGTACTGCAAAATTGATTGAAATTATTGGAAAGGAACACAATAACGTATTCCATCATTCATTTATTTCATAAGCACTTACCTCGGAATGAGCAAATCGTCTTCGCAGAACGTATGTAATTTGTGGCGTTTTTCCGTTCAAATTTGAAGACGTTGTTGGTGTTAACGATTACATATAACCACTTAGTCGGCGTTACCATTCTTTTGTTGATTCCTATGACTTGCGTATTCGTACTAGGAAATAATGCATTTGTATGAGCAAAAATGAGACGATTTCATATTCCTGTGTGGGGGACGAACGCTTACATTCTTGTAATTGAATTGATAGTAATAACAGGGTGTCCTCGAAGTTGTCCTAGTTGCTCTTAATGGACTTATCACCCCTTTTAAATATCAAATCATTTTATGTTACCATCTCGTTTTACTATCCACGAACGAAACATAAAATTTATCATCTTCAAAAAAAAATAAACGAAAATGCAATTTTTTATACAATGTATAACATTGAATAGAAGTCACATTTATAGGCAGGCTACATTTCACGTAGAAACATATAAGTTTATTTTTTTAAATTCCGTCGAGAACACAGAACTTTTTTAACCTTTTTTTTTCATAATTTTCATACCCTGTCGCTGATTAAACAACCTCGCACGTTAGTAACATTTGGGTACTGCGGTATGCATTATTGTCAAGTTTTTAGGAGAAAGCAAATTTTCACACCACCCGCTTAAGGCCCTCCCATCCCACATACACGAAATTTTTTATTTTTTTTAAAAGATACCTACCTACACACTACAAAACAGTACAAGTTATCTAACAGAAAACTCCAAACAGTAATAATTAAATAATGATAAATGAAATACACAAAAATAAGTAAATGTTTGCTCACCTGATTTTTACAGCATTTACTCAAAATTTCCTTCATTGGTGTCCAAACACGCCTCAATAAATTTGAGTCAAAACTCGTTGCATTTCCTGTATACGACTCGCAAACGACGATAAATAAATACGATCTACGAAAAAAAAGTTAAATAAAAACTTTTTGGTTTTGAGTTACAAGTCTTCAATGTTGTCAAAAATAAAATTAATTTTATTAATAACTTCATAACCCTTTTACCGATCGCGTTAAAATGTGGAACAGTTATTTGAACTATTATGGCCTATTATTTGTTGAAGCTTTTGTCAAATCGATGTACTGGGTGATAGTTTTCTCCGGTTACCTCTCCCTTTTAGCGGTCAAAACTTTTACAGTGGTCGTATTTTTTTGAAACGGGCAGTAACATTGAAAAGGTCGTTTCATTTAAAAAAAAAATATTGAGAAAATTGCCTACAGAAAGCCATTCTTGAGAAAAATGGCATTATTTTCATGTCTGTACGTTTCGGTTTGCGTAGCTATATCACAAATTTAAAACTTAGAGTTCAGTAGCTGATGAAAACAAGGATATTGATTGCTGTGGCTATCAGGTAGGTAATGTCGTTATTGTCGTGTTTCTTTAGGATTTTTTTCGGATCACTCCACACATGCAAATTATGAAGTGTATCAAGACAATTAAATGTATGAAAACTAATGTTCACAAAACTTAAGAAAAGCAACTTCTTCAGCCATTTCACGGTCAATAGCCGCACGGTTTAAGGCGTCAGTACTTAAATCGATGTGTCGATCTGCCCGGGTTTCGAATCCCGCGGCCGATAGACCGTAGATTAGCTATGCTTGTGCGGAGGATTGGCACCCTACGTGCAGGTATGGTAGGGTGGAAGAATGTTGGCTTGGGTCAATGTAAGACACCGGTTGGCATTTGACCTAATTTGAGCTAATATTTTTTTATTATCTATTTAGTTTAATTACAGTCCGGAATGACATATTTTCATTATTTATATAATTCAAAATAGCTTACATTATTTATTTTAAAATTTTTTACACATCACAAAAATGACATTGATTTATAATTCAAACTGCCGCTTTTTATCTCCCCTCACTACATAAGGGACATATGGAACACTAGCGCCCTCTTATTTTTGTAAGATTTTTGTTTACATGGAGTTCGGGCTCCTTGTGTAGTCTCCATGCAATCAACATCTTGTTTTCATCGCCTACTGAACACGGAAGTTTTAAATCCGTGACATTGCTACGCAAACCGAAATATATAAACCTGCAAATAATGCAATTTTTCTCAAGAATGGCTTTGTGTAGGGGTATACAGGCCGCCGGAGAGGTCGCTTGCGTAGTGTGTAGCCGGCTTAAGATGAACTGAGACCGAAAGAAATCACGAACTGCGACGTAAATCCTGATGCATCCGCTATCTCAGCGTTTTATTTACTCACCGAAGTGTCAAATTATTATTTATTTCTTTTTTTTATGTATATGAAAACCAATTTGTAATTACGCTTAGTTTGAACTGTAGTTCTGTATTGTTACTGTAATTCTCTCCTCTGACTATAATTCGTTAAAGAGCCTACCTCTTCTAAATATGCAATATTTTTGTCTACTTATAAAAATTTATTGTCTACATTGAATTAATCAATCTTTCTTTTTTGCTTTCAGGAGGAAAACATACACAAACAATCGATACAACACGTGAGTAATAATTTTTAAACTTTAGTATTTAGTTCATTGAAATGTTACATTTTGTTGGGCTTAGCGTGCAAAAGTCAGAGCACGCAATTTTATTTTTTAGATGTCAAGAGGGGGTTAGTGTAAAGTTAAATCCATGTGTGTGGGGTCGCAACCCTTGTGCATCGGCCGCCATCTTGTAAAAAGGGCTGCGAATGGTTTTTATACTACTACTTACTATATCGGGCAAACTATTCGTCGCACAGAAAATTTGTAAACACATTTTTTGTTGCAAATTAAATTCTCTACAAATTTGGTTTCATAACATTTAGTCGTAAAACCAAAATTAACAAAGTCATTAACGAATATTGATAAAAATTTGGGAACAAATTTTCTTTTGGTCGTTATAACTTTTTTTCTGGTCATTTTACAAAAAAAAATACATCAGATCATTTTGATAGAGGTGTTTTCAAGGAATAATTTCCATTACAAACTTTTCCAAATTTGATTTATTTATTAGGGTTTTGCAGCGATGCGAAACTTACACTATTCTCCAGTACTAGTAAGTATACATTAATATGAATGATTAGGCATAGTTTTCTCTCATTATTTTTATAAGAAACATTTTAATGATTGACATTGCAATATTGTTAATTAGTTATTGAGTCTTCTCCCCCACCCCCTACGAGGTAGAGTCTGGTAGCGCGTTTTTTTTACGTCGTATCTCTAGTAGGCAGAATCCACGGACATTTTCTAGCTGACATAATAATTAGTGTAATTAAAAATATCGAAATATATTTCCCAATCTACTGTGTCCTCAGTCTCTTTGATGGGCCAGGCTGCGACTCAGGATCTGGTTGAGCTTCCGATATTGAATTGTTGAGGAAGGATGAAGAATGAAGTGGTGTCATTGTTGGCAGTTCATCTTCAAAATCATTCTCCTCGATTAATTTTGATATCTCCATTATGTTGCTGCCAGAACAATTCAGGCACACTGTAGAACATTTGAGGCCTGCCTTCCGACATCCACACATTGCTCCATAGTTTCCTTTGCATCGGCAGAATATCAACTTTAGAAGCTCAGGAGGTGCTGGAGGTTTTGAACTTTGAACAGGCATCAATATTTGTCCATACTTTTTCCAGACCCAGTCTTGAGGGTCGTTGTAATTCCCGAGCCACGACTGGACCTGATGATACTCGGAGGCTGTGCAAGCGGGCTGTGAAAACAAATTAATTGTATTCTTTGCCACTGACTTGGCGAATCGTTTATATCTAAGACTGTCAAGAGAATCATCATCTTTATTGCCACCATATAAAGAGATGAAAAAACGTTCGCCAACAGCAGTGAGCAAAGTAGGGTTGACTATCTCATTGTGGAATAACGCTTTTCCACTAGCTAACTCAGGACGTGTCTCCAGGGTTGTGAAAAATTTCATTTTACCGATGTTGTAAGCTGCTGAAGTCGTGTCACATCCTGAGAAGGTATGGAGAAACAACAGATCATCCACAATGACGTCTCCGTACATAAAACTTGACGGACAATATAATTGTTCGGCTGTACGTCCTTTTGATGGTTTAAAAAAAAATACATTTGAATGTGTTCTTCCAAATGCTGTGAGCAAGACAAGAATGTCGTATCTTCAGCGACAATAGTGATTGAGTCGAACGATTGGGATGTAGCAAGAGTGGAGCGAACGATGAGGGTATCTGCATCTGATTATGCTTGGTCGACACTGAAACCCGCCTCTTGTCCACAAAATTCAAAATAGTGTCCATAAAACTCAAAATACTTTTAACAATTAAATACGTCACGCACGTGGTAGCACAACTGGAAGAAAACTTTGAAGGACACCTCCTATGCCTAATCATTCATATTAATATATACTTACTAGTACTGGAGAATAGTGTAAGATTCGCATCGCTGTAAAACCCTAATAAATATTAAATAAATCAAATTTGAAAAAAAGTTTATAATGGAAATTATTCCTTGAAAACCCCTCTATCAAAATGCTCTGATGTAATTTTTTTGTAAAATGACCAGAAAAAAAGTTATAACGACCAAAAAAACAAAAAACCTCAAATTTTGACTTTTGACTCCGAATAACTTTTTTAGCACACATGGGATCGGTGGGGACTTTTGACACTTTATTTGTAATGGTGTACCCAAGGTCTCCACCAAAATTTAGCTCTGTCGGAATTTTCGTTATTTGACCACTATTTTTATGACTAATTTGACCGGTCTACCTATGCTATTGCATTTTTTCAATGAAAAAATTTGTTTACGTACATATTTCAACACTGAATATGAATATATTTAGTTATAGTTATTACAGTTATTAAAATTATTTTTGTTAAACAAATTAATTTTTTTTTATTTGGAAATTAATTTTTTTGTTAAATACAGATAAAAT